CTGTTCAAACGAGAAATCTATGAGCAAGATGGAGGTTTCGAATAGATGCCGACTTTAAGGATGTCGCCCTCCACCGGAAAAAAAGAAACAAACAATAAGTCAGAAGTGTGGGCAAATGAAGTGCACACAGTAGGGAAGGGAAAATATGGTGACATATGGCATACTTTTGTACGCGTTTTATCTAGTTAAGAGTCAATTGTGTTCTTTCAGCAAGAGGGGTTGTTAGTAAATGCTAGAATGTTGGCAAATCTATAGCAGTTATGATTAAACCAACTTGCACCCTATTAATAAAGTTTGCTTCCCTGCCAACCAGACTTTGGTTAAGGTTTTTGATGTTTTCAAAATTCTTATTTCCGTATTAAGCCACACAGACATTGCTCAAAGGAAAACACTTGCAGGGTGGAGGCGGATGATGGCTCCAAGGAATCTCAAGAATCGACTCCATAATATGGCAATTTTGTCTACGCTAGGACACTTAGGTGGGCCAAAGCCTACTGCAACAAGATTTATGCTGCCCAACAAAACGTGTGAAAAGTATTAATGAATAATGACGAATTCTGAATAATGAGAAAGAAATATCACATTAATAAGCGCATGAAGACGAGTAAATGATCAACACAAAACAGTGAAATAGGACGAGTCCATTATTACCTCACGTTGATGCGGACGCAGGACTTTTGTTAAGATTGGATCAACAACAACGTGGACGAGTTGTTTGTCCCTAAGCAAAATGAGTTCCAAAAGCACAAGTTACACTTCGGTTTTCAGAGCTTCGTGAGCGTTCATGATCGGAGGAGTGTACAAAACTAGAGCATCTGGCTCAAAGGGATCGTGAAGGGCCACTCGTGCGCCTGATCTTTTGACTCCAAGTGCCTTGGTCTCATACCCGCTGGCTTTCGGGAAATATGACAGTGCTCAATTGAAGCACTTACCTTGGTAGTTTGGAATAGGGACTTTGAAGGGCCTCACCAGAATAGAAGTTATCAGCGCCTCCTAAGGAGCAGGTCAAATTGCTAATAGGAAATACGTGATCGTGCGCGGAGATCCTCTGAATCTCAGAAAGTGGTTTACGAAAAGGTGACATAAAATTCTTCGGGGAATACGAAAGCGAACATTTTGCAATTGAATCGGATGCACGACGTTTAATATGCGGCTATACAATTTAGACATACGAAAAATCTTCCAACCTCTTCGTCCTTACTTGTGATTGTTTTGGCACCAAATGTTTGGCTCGGAGCCAAACTGCGTCGCTAGACATAAAATAAGTCACACCAAACAGCGAATTACCATAACCAGAAAACTCCGTGCTTACCGCCCCTGCGACCTGAGCGCACTAGTGAAGAATTAAAACATGACCGTCCGCAAGTGTTACAAGGGTAGAATTCCAAATGTAAGTTATCATGGTCGAATTTAAAAATCCAAAATAAGTAAAGCGATATAAAGAGGACATCACACTGGAGCTATTAACACAAGAACGCGGGAGTTTTATTGGAGTCAGCAAGCTATGCGAAGTGTGTTTACGCACATACGGCAACAGCAAACAAATAAGGCAAAACGGCGATGCGGTCATGACAAGATTGCTTAAATGTGGCAGCATACTGGCATATGAACTGCCTTAGAGAGCTTCCAAAACACTTCATGCAATCCAACATCTAGGATACGTATATGGGAGGAGCCATAAACTGATCAAACGGCCTTTTATTTTTTCAAAACACACAAGAAATCCCAAGACATAATAGCAAGGAAAAATTGTGTGCAAGCATCTGGAGACATTTCAAAAGAAAATTTTAATCGGCTAACTCCTTCTTTATCCTGGATTAATTTTAGGATGGAATCAAGCTGTTCCTTAGATAATGGTCGTGTCGGTTTATTACTATGCGCCTAGTACAACTCCAAATCTTCGTTGAGGACACACTGGATGAATGTCATCTGTCTAACTGTTGAGCTCGCGTGCTGTTTAACCAGCTCGCGGATGTGCTCAAAACTGCATGGAAGGAAGATAATAGATTATACGCAACAGTCTTTAATAAACGTTTGTGTGTTTTGAGGGATTCGCCAATCAGCATTCTATCACTAAACTAAGGAAATCGAGGCTTTCTAAGCCAGTCACATGTAGCTTGTTCCGAGGTGAACGATGGAGCTTTCTTGTTTGACGCTGAACTTTTCGAAATCGTTAATATCATAAACAAGGGAGGAAGCCCTGACCTTTAATTAATATTGAAGTTGTCGAGCCCAAATTATGTAGATAACATAGAAAATTTATTCAAAAAGTTTTAAAGCGTTCTTGAATAAATACGATTTCTTGCCGTGTATTTGCAGCAACCCTTAAATATTGAGTTGTCGGCAGGTAGTTATTAAGGGGAAAATTTGCCCCGTCAGACTCAATACTGACACATGTTTTTCTCCGACGACTTGTAACCAATAGGGAGTTCAAAGGCGCTCGCCTATATTTCCATCAATTAGCTGATATTGGCTGATATTGAGTGTTGATTTCGAGTTAATAATAATTTTTTTAAAAGCCAGTTTACAGGCACTGTTGAAAAACGATAAAGCACAGATTTGGTTAACAATGAAAAACCCCTGAGAAGTAAATACAGAGAACGGTGCCTTTGCATAGTTCGAATGTTTCAGGAGAAAAAATCTGCTGCCGTGAAATGCCGGTAGTCCAGAAATGGATGGATACCAGTGCTTCGGATATTTTCAGTCTCCATTCATTTTTGTGAATTTGGGACTGGACCAAGCAGAGGCATTGAAGAACCGTTGTTCGCTGTCGGTTGACTAAACTGTCCGTGATAAGACCGGCCGTGGGCATCAGACACAACGAACTTCATCACTACGATAGATTAAATCGGTGGATTCAGCACCCAAAATGTGGAAGATTTTCTGAATGCAAAAGACGAGCAATAGTTCTCTTACATAAAGAATGTTTTGCGGAATTTTTACATTCCTGGGTAGTTTGTTAGAAATCGCAATTGTGTTCACAGAAAACAATAGATGACATTTAATGGTACGCACCAGAGGAAGAAATAAAAAGACCTCACGGTGACTATTACGTAGGGAATGGTTAAGATGTTTTAATGCAGGAAGCGGATTAAACGTACGATTGTTTCAAAGCTTAAATAGTGAAAATAATCTCCTTGGTAATTTAAGAAACCATAAAAGATCAAGGTCTGTAAGTCCGCCATGTTCTTAGTAGGTCAGGTGTCGACGGTCCGATGCTGAATTTATTTTCTTACGCTCAGCAACACTCATGGGGCTAAATAAAAACGAACAGTATTCCAGGTCAGGTCTAACGTACATTTTATGAAGATGCAATCTAACATCGTTAGTTATGACACTCTAGGGGATAAATCCAGTTGTTCAATGTGCTTAGGAGATCATCAGGGCTCTGAAAGATTAAAACTCTTGTAGTATGACAAACCCAGGTTCTCACTTACTCCAGACACATCTATACCGTGACCGTCAATACTTAGTTGAGGTTGGCGGTCTTCGCCGACCACCATGACCGAACATTTATGCCAAGAGAGCGAAAGGCGCCATGTGTGGCACCACCGGGCAAAGGCCTGTAGATCGCTCTTTAGGAGCTCGAACGCGATGTCACGACCTGCCAAGTTATACCTATATATAACTTTCATATAATCGGAATACATGAAGGACTTACCATTTTAAAATAAATCTGGTTCATCTTTATCAAAAAGGCAAAATAAAAGGGGGTAGAGTACACTATTCTGAATGACTCCACTTCTCACACATGTGTGGTTGTAGATAGCATTGGAAATACTGACTCGTTATGTGCGACCACCCAGGTAAGAAGATATAAAATTCAAAGGTTTGCCACCTATTCCGAAAGTGAAAGTTTCAAGAGAAGAAGTGCATGGTCAGCACGATCAAAAACCTAGGTGAAATCGAAATAGACTGTGTAAAGTGAAAAACCGTTGTCCCTAGAGTGGGGAACATGATCAAAGAAATAGAGCTAACAGGTGTCACAAGACCGAGTTTTGAAGAATCCACACTGAGCAGCTTTCAGTAGGTTGCGCTCTGTTAGGTGACACATCATCTTAACTTTGACCAATGTCTCTAAGATTTTTAAAACCAGTAGGAAGTGTTTATTGTCCGAAAGACCATCGTGTGCCCAACGGTGTGGGCCCAACACTCGTGACTCGTGTTTGAATTAATTCCAGCCAAAGCAAACTTGCTCAACATGTAATAGTCTCTCCTCATTCACTCTCCAGCCACTGGATGGAAGGTAGTGTCAAGGCGACCGAACGTGGACTTGACCACAAGGGACAACATAGTTAAGCAGTCCGCCCACGCTTGTCACGCATGATACCACCTCTAGAGAATGTAGAATTTTTCACTGAGGGTGCGTGAAATCTCACTTCAGCGAGAGTTCCATGAATACGACATTAATAGGGAATCATTTGGCTTTTCTCTCAGTCCGCCAACCACTCGCCCTATAAACACAGTACCGACTACGCAGACCAAGTTATTCAGTCAGTCGACTATCTTCCGTTCGCGAATTTTAACATACCGTAAAAGATTCAAACTTGTCAGACTTGTTATAAGGGGGAATGTGCTGCTGCGCCGTATGAGTGAGTTCCCCAGTGTTGGCCCTATACTCTCTTCCTTTCCACATGCGCATGTCGACTGCTTGAGTCTGTTAACCAGCTGGTGGTGAAATGGGACATAGCGAGTGACAGGGATAAATAGCCTCTCTGCGTGTGCCTCACATAACTTGGCTTCCACCTCAGATATACCAAGAGGCACCAAGAGAAATGCTTCTCAGCTGCGTGAGGTACAGAGGCTCATATGGCCGAACAGACCCAAACGATGACCCAATGTCCTCCAACAATTTGAACAAGTGAAGCGACTGTTACAGGTGTAAATTTGCGCTTCGGGAACCGGTTTCCCTGCCTCAGTGCGCCGGATTCACATGCGCGGACCAGGACGATGAGCGACTCAAATCTGTAATGCCAGCAAATACAGAGCAGGAACATTTGCTAGTAGTAGTAGTAGTAGTAGTAGTAGTAGTAGTAGTAGTAGTAGTAGTAGTAGTAGTAGTAGTAGTAGTAGTAGTAGTAGGAGTTGGAACTGTTGGTGGTAGAGTGGACTTCAGGTGTAGGAGATAGTTTTGCCATGCTGACATTTTGTTGAATCTCGATGTCGTGCATGTGCATATGTTGGCGATTAAACCCATCCAGTATCCGAATGTCCTGGGACATTGTAAGCAGATGAGGCATGTTCAAAGGATGTACGCCGGGGCCACAAGCACTGACGCGCAGTGATCAGTAGAAAGTATTTTTAGGTTACAGATTAAGCGTATGCGCGATGATACAATGTCATTGCAATAGCGGTAGGTTGTATATAAGTTGAGGTGGTTGCCTATTGTACTTATTCTTTTCCGCATTTATCGCATTCGCTTAAAAACGGCATGTTAACTGCCCGACTGACCAAATCCTAGTCTGTTATTACTTGAGCCTAAAATTTAGAGATACAGGGGTCTCCAGTTTTGGGTCCACGGAATAGTCGTAGTAGGTCGCTCACTTGCTTGCAGGTGCTGACTACGCCTAGCGTCCGATAACTGGCGCCCAACTCCCACGTGTGGCTCCCCGAAGCTAGGCTCTGCCTAGCAGCCACACCCCGGTGACCGCCTCGGCCGGCAGGCTAAACAGGCGGGGGTATCCAGGTGTGTTCCCACACGCGGTAAATCCACTCCTCCCTCCCTCCTCCTCCTCCACCACCTCCTCCACCTCCTCCACCTCTTCCCCCTCCTCTTTTTCCTCCCCAACTCTTCTGTCTATTCTCCCTACTCACCACTCTAGACCCTTCCCGTACGGTTGAAAAGTCCTACGGCGAGGACGACATGCAATCACGTAGGCGGCCCAGACCAATCGGGTCGTTCTCCCATGGAACCAGTACGTGACCCACCGTGGAGAGCAGAAGTCGTCTGAGGCGAGCAAGCAGCCTCTTTAGGGATAGCACTTCTTACCCGTGCGATGGAGATGGGACTATAAAAGTTGTCCTAAACATATGCTGAGTTCACGACATCTGCGCTCAGACTGCGGTTCGCAGACTGCAATATCTGCGGTTGAAACCATAAAACAAGAAACAGCAATCCTTCTCTCCCCCCTCCTCCTCTCTGCCCCACCCCACAGGCTGCTAGGGTGGGTCCGCTCCCTTTAGCGGCCTGGAATGTTCGTCCGCTTTTAGATACTTCCAGGAGCAACCGGCCGGAACGAAGGACAGAGATAGTCGCTCTGGAACTGGTAGGCTACGTCGCTGCGCTCAGCAAGACCCGGTCCTCCGAACAAGGCCAGCTGGAGGAGGTGGCACCGGCCCCACCTTCCTCTGGAGCGTTCGTCGCAAAGCAGAGCTACTTGGCGCTGGCGTGGCCTTTGCCATCCGGACCGACATCGTGAAACGACTGCCCTGTCTACCACAAGACATCAACAACCGGTTGATAAGCCTGCGCCCGCCTCTTCTGGGATCCAATTTCGTCATCATAATCAGCGCCTACGCTCCACCAGTGACCAGCTTCTACGAGAATCTGCAAGAACTTCTGACGACTGTGGCGAAGGCGGACAGGTCGATTGTCCTTGGCGACTTTAATGCCCGCGCCAAGGCAGACTTCGATGTTTGAAGGGGAACGCTTGGTTCTCTCAAAATCGGCAGCTTCAATGACAATGGTCTGCTTCTCCTGCTAAACTGTGAAGGACATCGCACCATCCTGGCCAACATATTTGGCCTGCCAATGCGGGAGAAGGCAGCCTAAATGTAACTTCGGTCGCGACACTGACACCTGCTGGGCTATGTCCGCGTCCGGAGGCGCAACGGGCAGGACGTGCAGATGACAAGGGCGATCCGGGATGCCGACGAATGAACCATGCCCTCGTCATCTCCATGATGAGGATTCGCCCCGAGCCACGCAGGAGCCCTCAATGTGGGCGACCAGCAGGTAAGTTGAGTACTGTTTTTTCTTTCGAATATGCTTGCCCACCATCATCATTGCAGTAACGAGGTGGCTCAACGACTAGTGAACGTTCAGTCGCCGATGGGGACGTCTCCGCGGAGAACCGATGGTGCAAAGTGAGGGATATACGGTACCGCCCTGAGTGTCTTTGGCCGTACACGTCGTCAACGCCAGGAGTGGTTCGACGACGGAGTCGCTGTATTCACACTCTACTTGCCGAGAGGAGTCCTCTGCACAAAACCTATTTCAACCGCCATACCGACGACTGCAGAGCAGCCTTCAAATCGAAGTCGCCGCCTTGTGCAACAGCGGCTGCAGGAGATGCAGGACACCTGGACGGCTCGCAAGGCCGATGATACCCAAGGATATGCGGACCGCAACAAATGGATGAACATCTTTGCCGCGATCAAGACTGCCTGCGGTCCCATAGTCAAAAGGAACCGCTCCTCTTCTTAGCGTCGACGGAACTACCCTACTCACTGAGAAGAGGCAAATTCTGAGGCGCTGGGTCGAGCACTTCAAAAGCGTCGTCGACCGTCCCCCCACCATCCCCGACGCCGCCATCGCCCGTCTGCCTCAAGTGGATATCAACGGCGACCTCGACTCCCTGTCCTCTCTCCATGAAACCATCAGGACAATGCAGCAACTTTGCAGCGGGGAGGCATCCGGATCAGACGCGATCCCTGCTGAAATTCATAAGCACGGCGACTCCAACTCATTAATCATCTGACAGCGCTCTTGCAGATGTGGCGCCGAAGAGAACTTCCGCAGGATTTCAAGGACGCCAGAAGCGTTTGTCTCCACAGGAAAAAAAGGGGCCACCAACTCTGCGACAACCACAAAGGGATCTAACCGCTCGATTTCGCTGGGACTATCTTAGATCACGTTCCCCTCAATCGCCTCAGCAGCCATCTGGAACAGGGTCTCCTGCCGGAAAGTCAGTGCGGATTCCGCCGTCATCGCGGGACCACCGACGTGAGCTTTGCCGACTGACAACTTCAGGAGAAGTGTCCGGAGATGCGGACTCACTGCACTCTACCTTCGTGGATCTGACAAAGACCTTCGACACGGTGAGCCGCGAAATAACGTGGAAAATCATGCAGAAAGTCGACTGTCCCGAGCGATTCACTCGGATGGTGCATCAGCTCCACGATGGCTTGACGGCGCGTGTCACGGCCAACGGAGCCGTCTCAGGGGCATTCGCAGCGACTAATGGAATGAAACAGGGCTCCGTCCTCGCGCCCACCGCCTTCAGTTTCATGTTACTGACATACTAAGAGACTCCTATCGTGACGAACGCCTCGATATCCGTATCGCCTACAGGATGGATGCCAAACTCCTCAATCGTCCTGGATGCACTTTCAGTCGCGTGTATCCACAGCTACTTACCACGAACTCCTCTTCTCAGACGACCGCGCAATCAACAGTACGGCTGAAGAAGAAATGCTACGAAGCATGGATCTCTTAACCTCCGGCTACATCTACTTCTGACTGACCATCAACATGCACGAAACGGGGGTCATGCATCAGCAGCCGCCGAGCGCTGGGTACATTGTCTCTCACATCCACGTCAACGGCACCGAACTGGAGGCCGTGCACAGCTTCAACTACCTAGGCGACACGATGCCACCCTGCATCAAAATAGATGACTCAGTGGCCCGCTGGATATCCAAAGCCAGCCAAGCTTTCGGCCGACTGCAGAACTCCGTGAGGAATAGCCACGGCCTCCAACTAAACACCAAACTGAAAATATACAAGTCCGTCGTCTTGACGACACTTCTCGACGAAGCAGAGACTTGGACTGTCTACTCGAGCCATACCGGAAAGCTCAACCACTTTCATCTTAGCTGTCTTCACAGAATACTAAAACTGAGCTGGCAGGGATGGATCCCCTACATGGAAGTGCAAGAACGGACTGAAATCCTCAGGGTTAGGACAACTGTAACTGCGAGGAAAAACAACGAGCGACTACCAAGACGACTATTTTAGAGGGAAGTCGCCACGGGTACTCGTCGACAAAGAGGACAAAAACGGCGCTACATAAACACTTTGAAGAACTCTCTGGAACAGTTGCGGATCAAGTCGGAGACCTGAAAGGACCTCGCCTAGAACAGACCGACCTGAAAAAATAACCGGCTAGATCGCAGTTGGTAGTCAGGAATAGGGAAGCGGACGGCGACCTTAACCCTAATCCAAACCTTAAACTTTAACCGTTAACCCTAACGGCAACTTTAACCCTAACCCTAATCGAAATCGTAAACGTATCTGTAGCCCTTAGACACAGACCTAGCTATAAACCCTAACCGTAACACTGAAACCTAGTCATAAACTCAAACTCTAACCGTAACCCGAAAACCTAAGCCTAAAAGCCATAACCCTAACCCGAAACTCGGATACCATTAACCGGTACCGTAATCCTAACCTTAAACGTAAAACGGAAGCCAAATGGGTCCCATGTGATTATGTAGCCCCGTAAAAAAGCCCCAGCAAACAAACCACCAGCCACCTGTAATACGGGATCTGGCTACCATCTGAGATCTAGCTAAAGAACGGAAGGCAATCGAATTGTCGTCGCCAAAGATAAAAGGGAGGGCTGCATGTCACAAGTGACTCAATCCCTCAATGCTAACAGTCAGCCGCTTCCAACATGCCCGCGCTGCCAACGCACATTTCGAGGGCGAATCGGCCTCTTAGAACACCTTCGGACTCAAGACACCAGCAGCCTGGCCACGTCAACTTCTTCCTCCACTTTCGCCTATGCCGCAAACCCTCGAAGATGGCAACCCACGTCACCGACGATCACACTGTCGCTGTCCCGCTGCCAGCAACCGCCGACATCTTCCACCCTGCCTCATCCCCTCCATCGACCACAGTGACCAGCTCCACCAGCACAACGATATCTCGCACTCCCCCACCGATGGGACGATGGGACATCCCTTCATCTGCTACCACCACCAGCAGCACCCCCACTTCCAGCGAAGTAGACTCGGTTCACCCCTGTCCCCATTGCGATCGCACACTCACCTCCCACATCGGTCTGGTCAGCCACTTGCGAAAACGCCGCACAGAGACTTGTGTACCAGTGCCTGGAGCACCAACACAGACTCGCCACATCCACCACAGCTGCTCCCACTGCCCCCGCGCATTCAGCCACCGCACGGACCTATAAGGTCACAAGAGCGTTCAAGAAAACCTGCGGTTGACGCCCGCCGGTCGTACCACATCATCACACCTTTCCCCCACCAGCACCTGAACCACGCAACAACATCGCCCACCGCCAGGAAACGCAAACACTAGATCGACACCTCTCATGTAAGTGAGAAGTGTGCTCCTTGGCTCCTTCTTCATGTGGCTCCTCTGCTGCACGCGCGATCCGAGCCTAAGAATTTCACGGGGCGCCAAATGCCGTGGCTTGTAAGGTTGCCGACTGACGCCACAACTCAGTCCACGCAATCTGCCTAGTTGTGTGTGAAGGGGCGGACTGATGGGCTGAGAGTCAGGCTGCAACGGCTCCTTCCTAACGTGACCTCTGGCACTCTCATGCGTGCGAGGAGTGTGTGTGTACATGGATAGTGTCTCTCAGTCGAAGACTGATTGCTTACCCGGCCTTTGGAGGATGATGGCCCAGGCAAATGCACGGCTGCGTCCCACCCATCTGCGCTTTAAGGATTGTGTGCGTCTCCTATTCAGCAAACCATGATCCCTACAGCCTGGTGTGCGTTGGCAGTTCTCTGGCACCTGGTTTCCTGCCAGAAGATGTGCTTGGGCCTCCGCTGGGTATGCAGACGCGCGTGGTTCCCCAGTGAACTATGTCATCCGTCCCTTTCTGACACTTTTGTCGTTAGTTGTAGTTCTGGTCAAGTGTTTGCTGTGGACCAGGGGATGTGGTGGTACGCCTACGTGCAGGTCCGGCCGTGCCAGCCACTTGTGCCCTTTCCTGCCTTCGGTCTTCTTGACTACGTTTGGATACCCAGCTCAGAGGGTAGGGGAGAGTGCAGTAGATGCTTCGAAAGTCCACTGCCGTTATAAACTAATTAATGCACATGTCACCGTGCCTCTTCTCACCTTTCTGTGGAGCTCTGTCAGGTACTTGGGCCGAGGTAATCGTCCTTCTCTCCCCTCTTCCTCTTCCTCCTCCTCCTCCTCCTCCTCCTCCTCCTCCTCCTCCTCTTCCTCTTCCTCTTCCTCCTCCTCCTCCTCACCCTCATCCACCTCCCTCTCCTCCTTCCTCCGCAATAATTGCACCCTTGTTCTTCTCAGATCTGCAAGCGCGGATCTCGCCATGAATTCCGTTTTTAACATTAATGGAACAGGTGAGTATAATATTTTGTCCGTCCTTTTCCGTCTGCCTTTGTATTTTAGATCTACCTCCAACTAACAGAAAAACCCAGTTCAGGTTTCAACTTAAGAAGTCGTTCTCAGCGTTATACTCTGCTGCTTGACATAGGCCTCTAATATCCATGAACGGGAATATCGTGGACATCCGTCTCACTGTCAGTACGACTCACTCTTTCCAATCATGATAACTATGCCTTTTTGATCAGGCGCCCAATTGCTTGAACTTGTTGGCATCAATCCACATCAAAGGCCATTAGGCCGCTATGAGCTTTAAGTTCATAAAGCCTGTGGACTGTCCGGAGTTTGGTTTTAACACCCGTTGTCCCATTGAGCTCGATGCCACAATGTGCCAGTCAACACCGGACCGCAGAAGTGGAAAAGTTAGACCCCTGTGGTGTGAGATATCTGTGCTAAGGCCGAAACTAACCATCCCCGTTCCGAAATCCATGCGTGTATGGTTGCTACTTACCTTTGTTGGACAGGCATCTGCAGTTGGTTACCGACCTCGAAAATTGTACCTGACCTCCAGTGACTTGGGCATAGTTTGACCTTCTAACTCGAAATCACATTGGTCCGTATTTGACGTTTGTGTACTACGCCGATCGAAATTATATGGGGACATCCGCCAACCCATCGAAATCTTCGATTAACCATGTTTTCCGGCTTGTCAAATGTTTTTTGAGTGTACGATTCTGTTGCCTTCGCTTAGTATGCTTTATAACCGTACTTGACTACATGATATCCGGTTGAGCGCTCGGACTGGATACCACGAGAGCCTTGATATCTTCTGTCGCGGATGGACCAGGACAGGGCTGAGTTATCTACACCGGTGCTATCGCTTTAACACCATATCACTACGAAGGCCTGCTAAGTGCAGTGCCTTTTCTGACTGCGGTCGACAAATTCTACAATGGTCCGAGCTGCAGTTGTGCTGGACCATCAGGGGTCCAGATCAGGGTATGGCACGCGTTAGTGGGCATCTCACCCACAATATATTCCGTAGGCGGGCTTGGTGGTAGCTTGCCTAGCCGCAGGCTCACTCCTTGTCAGCTACCTGCACCCTATTCCGCCTCCAGTCTCGTTGACTCTGTCCGAGAATTGGGTCAAGGTGGGTGAGGAGGAGGGGGTGTGGCCGATACAGCGCAAGTCTACTCCCCCAGTAGACTGATTCATGTCCCTGACACCACCCTGCTGTAGGACACAAAATGAACATGTTTGGTAACGACGATATAATTGTCGGTCGAAGCATCCTACTGCGTGATCGATCTCCTGAAATGTCAGTCGAAATTCTGAAATGCGTTTGCGACTAGGAAAGATTACTTAGGTGGGGTTGTGATACTGAACATCCTGAGGCACAATCGGCTAGATCGCAGTTGGTAGCCAGGCCCCGTATTACGGGTGGCTGGGAGGGTTTGTTTACTGAAGCTATTTAGTGAGGCTGCGTAATTACATCTGACCCATTTGGCTTTCGTTTTACGCTTAAGGTTAGGATTAGGGTACCGGTTAATGGTTTCCGATTTTCGGGTTAGGGTTATGCCTTTAGGCTTAGTTTTTCGGGTTACGGTTAGGGTTTGAGCGTACGACTAGGTTTCAGTATTATGGGTAGGTTTTTCAGTTACGGCTATGTCTAAGGTCTAAGGCTACGTTAACGATTTCGATTAGGGTTAGGGTTGCCGTTGGGGTTAACGGTTAACGTCTAAGGTTGAGGTTGGGTTTAGGGTCAAGGTTAGGATTAGGGTTAGGGTCGCCGTCCGCTTCCCCATTCCTGGCTACCAGCTGCGATCTAGCCGCACAATCCTATAATTTTTTAGACTCAGCAGAATGTAAGATTTTAAAAGCACCTCTTTTTGGCCTCCTGTAAAAACTGCACATGTAAAAGTGGCTACTTAAGTAGTATGCATTTTTACATTGATTTTCTATGGCCTTGCAAACCTAAACATATTTTATAGAAAAAATACACAAAAGTATGATTTTCTTTGCCCATTTGGCAGTTACTTACATTGTTTTTGCATCTGCGTTTCGTGCATGTTATGTCCGAATTGTCATTTGTATGGACAGGGAGATTACCCACGCGGGTATACACTACTACCGTGAAACGTGCGGAGTCAAATGCCTGAGTAATTGTCACGCCGACCAATAATTACGGGATGTCCAATTACGGTTTCACCGTGTAGGCGTGACAGATCGCCTACGAGCCTCGTGCACACGGTAGTTGCTCCACACAGTCCTTAACTGGTGTCTAGCTCTCACCCGTGGATCTCAATAACTGTGGTTTTGCTTAGTGGCCACATTCCCGTAGCCTTCCTTGACCGGCAGAATAAGCCAGATGGGGTGTCCGGGATGTACTTGTTTTTACATCCAGTGCCGCCAACAGAAGCGAAAAGACGAGTTTCAGGAAACAATCGTGAAGAAAGAGACACGACCACTGGGACAAGAACTTTATTCGCCCGACGTTTCGGATTGATGCTCAAACCCATCACTAGAGACAAAAGCATATACCTATGTCATAACCACTGGGACGCCACTAAGTGGGGACAAAGTCGCCACCATCGTCAACGCTCGCTCCCCCCCCCCTCCCCATGACCAGCTTTGGTGACGTGAAGAACAAATTTTACGAAGACCTGCACGCTCTCCAACAGACTGCACCGGGTGCGGACAAATTGATTACTTCTGGCTACTGCAGCGTCCACATAGGCACTAGGCATACTGCAAGAAGAAGAAGAAGAAGAAGAAGAAGAAGAAGAAGAAGAAGAAGAAGGTGATGAAGATGAGGTCACTGGAACAAGAAGTTTATTGGACTGACGTTTCGGATTCTCACTCGAACCCATCACCAGAGACGGTCGCAGAGAAAGGCACTAGGGGTCACAAAGACTGCATTATTTATAGTACGTGGCTGCCGTGAGGCCACATGCGTACTCTAATTAACACCTCTCGCGATCACCGCTGGGGGTCGTAATAAGTGCGATTATGGCTCGTCAGTCCGCGTCAGAGTTATTAATTACCGCAATTCCATCATCCGAATTGGATGTTGACGTGGTGATCACTCGGCCATTTGGCTCGCTGTCACTGGGATTGTTGCCCGCCCGCACCCTCCCCATGTGGCTGATTCCCCTGCTCAGGGAATGCCTCAACACTAAATACGATAACCGGAGGTCATTGCGCTTGTTAATGAATTACGGGCTTGAGCATCATGATTGGAGCAGCTCGCGGATCACGCGGTTGTCATCCCTTGCGAGGATTTCGGCCTATCAAAATTTGAAAATATGGCCGGGTTCCGTGGAATTAACCGCCAACTAAGAGCTGGCGTCTTTCCTCCTCATGGCTGCTGCGTTCTCAGTCATCTGCGTCCTGAGTAATCTCTCAATTTTTCCGACGTAGCTGCTCTGTCCGCAACTGCACCGGATACGGTAAACAACTCCAAACGTTTACTGCCGTGGCAGGGGGGTCTTTCGGCCTCACAATCTGGCGCGTGATGGTTTCTTCCACCCTGTGTGCAACCCCAACTCCAAGTAAAGCGAGGTGACTGACGGCTTCCGAGAGGTTCATCACGTACGGAAGAGCTCACCGAAATTTAGGGCCGGTTGGATGTGGTCTCCGGTTTCGTTCGTGTACGCACTGATCGGCAATGTTGCGCGGATAGTCATTAGCTCTCACTACCCACTGGAGATATTGTAATTCAGCAACCTTATCTTCCAATTCACTGCAGTGTGTTTTAATGCGCCTGTATGGCGTTCTTACGCAAATGCGTTCGCTACTGATCGCGTGGTTACTGTTGAAGTTCAGTACTGGCGTCGTATTTGTTATTTTCTCGAACACTTAGGTTTCTAGGCCACCACAATTTTTTCAACTGATGAGGACATCCAGAAAGGCCAGCTGGTTGTTTTCTCCCTCCTCCGTCGTAAATTGAATGTCTGCGAGGCCAGCGCTCAGACGTTCCTTGAATTTCAGCACTTAGTCCAGTTCGATGATGACGAAGGTAACATTCTTTTACCGCGACAAAAATGTCGGTCTGTGATACCGGAAAACTAACGATTTCAACCGTGAAAGACCGCTTCAGCTATGAGTCCGGAAATCGGCTAACCCATTGGCGTGCCTTTTACCTGCCGGTAGTTTGTTCCGTCGAACTTAAATTACTTCTTGATACGGAACTTCAGGAGTTGGATGATTTGAGCATGTCGGAGCCGATCCTCGCTCTCATCGTATTTCTCTCGTAGGAGTAGTTCGATAGTCTTGACTGCCGAGTACTGCAGAACAGAAGTAAAAAGGGGGGTGATATCAAAGGATCCCATGACGTCACCTGGCATGAGACTTGCCCCTTTACGTTTCTCCAAGAATTGCGTTGAGGAGCTGACTGCGGTTTTTGATTCGGCGGTGCGAAACCTGACACTTCGAAACAGCCACTTTGCCAGTCCGTCCGTTGGAGTGCCTTTTAGTGTTACGATTGGCCGGAGAGGAGCGCCCTTTCTGGGCAGTTTTGGGAGACCGTAGAATCGGGCCAAAGCCGTTTCTTGCGCTCTCGCCACGCTTTGATCGATCGGTGATATTGCATCTGAGTTCTCCATTGCCAACAGCGTCGCGTTGATATCTCGTGTCAGTGTCTTTATGAGTGTCAATATGGGTATGTTGCCCAGAGAAGGCTGCAGTATTTATTGGAGGCAGTCGCTGTGCTACCGCATGTATATGAAAAAACGTGACTCCTCCCTTTATCAAGGACTGTTGAACTTGGTGTGACGACTGTTCGATGGCCGACGTTTGAGTCGTTAATCGTGAGTATTCCATCACGGATGTTCGATGTTGGTGCGACGATTACTCGATCATCTGGCCCACCGACCCTGGCGTTGGAAACAGTGTTCGCCTGTGCGTTTCCCCCGTGGCTAATTACTCCGCCTAGGCTAAGTCTCAACACCGAATATAGAGGGGGAGGTCGTTGCGTTTGTTGATTGATTGAGAACCAGAAAACCTTGATTCGAGCAGTTCGCAGCACACGTGTTTGTCCCCTCTGGCAAGAATTTCTGCTTCGTCGAATTTGAATATATGGCCGAATCTTGCTGAATGAGCGGAACTTGACGGCTGGCGACATTTCTCCGCACTGCAATTGCCTGTTCGACCACTCTTGTTCGGAGCAGTCTTCTGATTTCTCCTACATAGTTGCTTTGTCCGCAGCTGCACCAGATTCGCAATGTCCGTTTTGTAGCGGACCAATTTCCGGGTGTCCATTGCTGTCCTCCCTCCCAGTCAGCTTGCTACTAGATTTTCAAAATGAGGACGGACATTTGAGACTGCCAGAGTGAGCAATACCACTCTGGCAGCCTGTGAGGAAGCCCGATCACGGGAACAGCAGTGGTTGTCATTTTGTTGTTTGCTATGACCATCTGCTTTTGCGTCCGCCAGCCACGGTCAGCCTTAAAACTGCATATTTTACCAATGATTTTTACGTCACCTATTATAGATCCTTTTCGGGGGAGGAAAGCACTGCCTGAGTCGACTAGGGATTGCATACTACTTTTTTCCGGAATTGGGGAGGTTGTGTGGAAATTAGTTCAAGGACTACCCTGTATGAAGACACACACGCATACCAGACATCTTCAGCTGGTTTATCGCGACGGTCAAGGACAGGTATCGGGGGATAGTCGCCGTGCCAAGTACGGCTTTGTGAATAAACAGATTAGACTGAGGAGCCGAAATGGATGAAGGAGGAGTATGTATCAGCTTTATCTATGTGTTTGGTTGTGTCAGCGGTGGGACGCTTAAAAGCGCTTGCTTCGGTGGTGGTACTGACTACTCTATCCAAAACAGATGCTGTTGCATCCTGAGTGTCAATTGCCAGCCGTTTCTCAGCAGCAAGGCATTCTCATCAGTGTAAAGTCGTTCAACGCCCATTCAATTACATAGACAGACCTGGAGTAACCGTACAGCTACAACGTGGGTACCCGCCCATGGCATCCAGCACACCTCTGTAACGCACCCACAGCACGCGTGACACACAATTAGCGTGGAAAAAGCTCTTATCCTAGAAGACATGCTCTGATGTGAGGCATGTACCAGTGGGCATATCGAGTTAAATGCCACGGACAGACTTCCAAAGGAAAGGTGGAGACGGATACGGCTAGTCCATATCGACGTATCCAAATGCGATGGACATATATTGGCGTGAGTTACAACCAAACACGGAATATTTTGTTAAACTTGTCAAAAATCAATCCTCCTATACATCGCCCCTACTCCTGGCGGTGAGCAAGGGACCATTTTCGACAGTTGTGCCTTGGGGCTAAATGAAAAGTCCTTGCAGGCAGTGGGATAGTGACCAGGAATGTATGCTGGAATCGGTAGCGACAAGGAAAACTGAGACCGAGACGACCGTTTCCGGCATATTAACTCTTGTCAGCCAACCTTACCTTAGAACCTTAACTTGCGTTAGTACGCCATTAACCAATCGCCTCACCATTTTGGATATTCCTTTCAGCACACAGTCCTGATCGCTATGAGACTGCCGGTGAGAGATCTAAGCTGAGCCCCAAGACACAATTGAGCGATCATGACCCATAACCCGACCGCCGAACTCACTTCAAACATAAGTTTATATTTCCGATGTCAGCCTACAATCCAACGAGTCCGAGGCCCAATAGTAGAACGTCGGATTTTATGACGCTCGATGATCAGAGAATGTGGTTTCGAGGGTTAGGCACTAGCCATCTATGGTTGGGTTAGACCGTCTGACGACGGTTCATAAGTCATAAATGCCAATCCCAGTCTCCCTTGTCTTTGTCGGTCCTCCTTCTAGCGTATAGATATATGCATGTACAGAGGGAAACCAGATGTCACCGAAGCCTGATTATTATTAAGAGTTACAGTTAAATAAAATACAATTTTAGTGCACGGAGTTAGAGCAAATGTCCAGAATATAAACCCTTATTTGCAATAAAATTATCATATCGTTCAATGGTTGATTTATTTACTTCTTTGCCTATCTACGGCTTACTATCTTTCCAAGCCTTTATGATGCTCTATTTCTGAGCAGCTAGAGCCTTTAATTTATCACTCAATAACCGATTTCTGTGCATTCCTCAGAAAACGAATTTTGGAAGACTGAGGTCTTGGGACTTGCAGGCTATTCCACGGCCCTGTTGCGGTCTATCCATCTACCCGGAAAGAGTTCATCAAGCCCCTTTCGAACAGAAAGACCACAATGTTAAGGGCACTATGATGCTAAAAGTACAAATCAACGCAATTTGCACTTTGAGACACTATAGGCCACAACTTTTCATTGAACATTTTAAGATGTGTTTCGGTCGTTACTGTATTATCAAATAAAAGCGGGCCACTTAGTCCTGTACAGTGAATACCGCCACAAACAGTGACACCAGGCAAGCTGGGCTCCTGTTATAACGTCTCATGTGGATTGGAATCTGGCTAGTAGAAGCAGTTGTGTTGGTTCACCCATCCATTTAGTTTGAAGCAGGCTTCTTCCGACCAAATAATGTGGTTCAATAAGTCATAAAGATCATCGCATGGCGCCACAAATGTTTCACGAAAGTAAAGACACCCGTCCCCGTCATCTTTGTTGTGAGCGTGGAATGAACGCTGACAAATTGGGTGCAAATGTATACTCGAAATGATGTATCGTAAAGACGATCGCGATATGTCCAGCTCTGCAGTAACACATCTCTGGGATTTCCAGGGCCGCTGCCGTATGATTCTGCTACTAAATCCTAACTAGTAGTATTCGTAGCGTTCTTGACGCACCAGATTTATCTGCGTTGACAGTGTTGCCAGTTCGAGTTTTCATACCAATTGGTAGATTAAAGATTTTGATGGAGGTCGTGTATCAAATGCTCTAATATCCTTACAGTTCTGGCCCGTTGAGTAGTTTTTAACAGCATGAACGGCTTCTTCGATTTTTAAAGTGTTTCATGTGTAGGCCATGTTTCAAATGAGAGAGGACGATGGTAAATTCAAAGTTAGCAAAAACAAGGACAGGGTCATGCACGTTGAAAGTGGTATAAACAAAGTCTACTAAAGGTTCATGCACAAGGCTTATATTTTGAACATTGTTTGTGGTTTTATTTAATGGAATTTTGCTCCATTCATTTGTAACTCGTAAAAATAATTATGGTTTTGTTACATCTGGACCACCCTGTCTTTGAATGTTAAAAACGGTGACGACAGCGATGCGGATAGATTGATGAAGAACTGAATCGGGCTTATTCTGCCTTTATTGAACTAGTCATAGCCCTAAACAACCTTTGGGACCAGAAGCGCAAACATGCACATCCACACGCCGCAGTTGTTCCATAGACGGGGTTTTTCGGAGGGGTAATGAGCCCTTTATCGGACCGAAGTTCATCAGTGCCTCTCCACTTGGCATTTTCTAACGGTACTAAAATACCGGATCTGCAGAGACTGCTGCATACATGCTTAACTTTGTTCCGCATGCCAATAAAAGGCCAAAATTCCACGATGTAAAATCCTTCTTACCAATATTTGCACTCCAGCTAAAATGCAGATCTGTATTCCTAATTTTCATCGATAAGATTCCTCAAGATGGTTCAGAATATGCGTTTAAACATATTCCAGTACTAAAATACCATGCCAGGGTCAGATGCGGTTATGTAGCCGCAGCTGAGACAAACAAACCCCAGCCACCTGTAATACGGGACAGGTGGCAATAGGTGTTTTTACAGGTGAGGCACGGAAACGCACAGACGACGAGGTCAAGTGGTTGGATGCAAAAGAAAAGCTACTGGGAATGCGCTGTTGTACTTTGAGTTGTTAAGAAATAGTTGTCCTAACCATAGCCCCTAACCCTAACCTCCAACCCTAACCCCTAATCCTAATCCCTAACCCCAACCCTAACCCTTGGCCGCAGCCCTACACTCTAACCCTGAAACTTCCAACGTAAAAGTTGGAAGGGTATGACAGGCCGAAAGTCAATAATGATCACCGGCATTGGGCCAAAAAAGGTAGGCACGGCAGCAAAATAACAAGACCGCCAACGGAACACACACTGCAACTCCTTGCCAACGTAACCACACCAACTCAAAATAATTAAGCTGGTCATCAGTATTGAGTCAATCAAGTGCGGCTACATAACCACATCTTACCCATGTTAGGGCCGCAAAACATGTAAATCAGTTATTCCCAGTGTACAGCTTAGGCAAAACCAAACGCAATAGACGGACGCTCTGAATGGCAAGATACAGCTCAACAAATAAGC